AAGATAATTCTAATCTTCAAATCATAAATCGTGGTGATTTAATGGCATTTTATGAAGTCTTAGAAGAGTATATTCATGATGAGGTCAAATCAATTCTTGGAATTCGTGAACATCAATATTTGAAGCCGAGAGAAATTTATCAGGAACATTTGAAATTGCCAAATTCTAAATATCAAGTAATAATGACTGGTTGTGAGAAGATACAATCATCAGTAGTATACCACCGTATTACATTTCAAAAAAGATTAGAGAGTAATGATTTCTTACTTTATGGAAGTATCACGAATGAATCGGGGAAACAGATCGATAATGTGATTATTAAATTTAGATCAATCAATAATGATGGGTTTTCCGTGACTATTGAAAATTTTACTGGACATGAGTAAGTTTGATGAAAATTTAACCTTATCGTTAATTTGTTTTTTTTTTCAAAAAATTCAAGATTTTAACAGTTTGTAAATTTTAGGATGGAACACTTTGGTAATCGACTGAACATTAATTGGATGCTGGTTGGAGATCCAGATGTGATCAATTACAGGAATCCATATGTTCAAAATTATTTTGTTGCAAAAGTTGGTACTAAAATATTTAATAACAAAGATCTTGAAGGTTTAAACATTGAATTGCCTCAACCACTTAAAAATGTGAAAAATGCAAGATTCGCCTGTACATTTTACTATTCATCTAATGATGGTCCATCATTTTCAACTTGCATCGAATCTAATGATGCAAAAGGAATCCGATTACATATAAAGAACCTTAATAATAAAACTCAAACACATTTAACAACTTTTGATGAATTTAAAATGCACTGGTGTATTTATTTTATTCCGATTAAAAAAATTATCATTGGACAATTCATACCTGTGAACCAATCTTCAAGTAAGATGCCAAAATTTTTAAGAACAAAATCTTCAAAACAAGTGCCTGGCCTAAGAATCGAGTATAAATTCTTTTTATTAAATCTGCATATTGTGATTAAAAATATATTCTAATTTTATCAATATATATATATTTTTACTAGTGTCTATGAAGCTATTAGTGCATTTCGAGTCATACTTCCTTGGTTTGATGCATTAAATATAATTCTTGAAAAGATTTCGAAAGCGTATGAAGAAGCCGAATATAATCGAAAGACTTGTCGTGTCTTAACTGATCGTGCTGATGATGTTTTGACCGCGGTTAAAATATTATTTCGGAGAAGAGATGAAGAAGAAGATAAATTTCTCGATGATTATTATGTCAAATCATTTATTAAACTTCACAGAGTTTTAAGAGATATAAAAGAATTTATCAGTAATATTTCTCAACTTCAAGGCCTTTCTAAATTTGTATCTGCTGAAGATATAAGGAAAAGATGTATATTTCTCATGAATGAATTGGAATCAACTTGTCTTGATCTAGATTTACACACCACAATATCGGTAGAGGACAAACGCCTTGTACAAAAAAGTCTAATGGAAGACGTAGAAACAATGACTGAGGTGTGAATTTACATTTTCATCATATCTATTATTTTATATGTATTTAATAAACATTTCATTTTAGTTTCTCGAAACGATTAAAGGTGGTGTTATACAGGACGATATAAAAGATATACGTTACAAAAAAGAAGTGGTGATACCTAAAACATCTAAAATGCCTAGTAAAGTTTTTGATGAAGTTGCAGAAATAAAAAAGAAAATGGAAAAGAAAGAGATTAGATTAAATGCGCCCCGGATTGATCCAGATTCGTTGCAGGAAGATAAAGGATGGATACAAAAAGATGAATGCAGGATATTCAAACGGCTATTAAACGGAAAAATTGAAGTTGCTTGCAAGCGTATCAAAATTCCAGATTCTGAATTCCAAATGTTTAATACGCGATTTGCTATTTTAAATCGATTAAAAGTATCCAATAAAATTGTTAAATTTCATGGACTTGCGAAATATAGTGATTATTACCTTGCTGTATTCGATTGGGCAGAATGTGGCAGTTTAAAAGAAGTTTATGAAAGAAAAAATTTAGAAAATGACAAATTTTCATGGGAAGATAAAGTCAAAATTGCTCTTGATATTTGTAATGGTCTTATATTTTTACAAGGATGTAACATTTTACATCATGATATTCGCTGTGAAAATATTTTGGTAAGTTGTTCAAAAATATGAACACATGTATAATAATATTATTAATTTAAATTGCTTTAATTTATTAGATTTCTGGTAAAGATAAGAATTATAACGCAAAACTTGCAAAGTTCGATCTTAGTCGACATGCAAAACATATTAGCACCAAAATTAAAAGTATGGATGAAATAATACGTTGGTTGGCACCTGAAAAGATGACTTCTGATTATTTTGATTCAAATCATGAAAAAGATAGTTGTACATTTAAATGTGAAGTGTTTAGGTAAGTAAAAAAGATATATAATTTATTATTTACTTATATACTTGTTATGACATAATAAAATTAAGTGACCTTTCTAAATAGCTATGGTATGCTTCTATGGGAGCTTGCTTTTCAAGAAGTACCTTACAAAAAAATGGACGTTATGAATATAGTGAATTATGTAAAGTCTGGCAAAAGGGAGCATCTTAACTTTGACAATAATTGTCCCAGATGTATTACTACTGGACTTTCGAGAATTATTCAGACGGGTAAGTAATTAGCAAAAATTTATTGTTTAATTTTTTTACAACTCGATATATTAACATCACTTTAACTAGCATGGGCACACGAACCTTCAGAGCGACCATGCATTAATGCTTTTAATGCCGAGCTCAATAAATTAAGACTATCACTTAAAAATAATTACACGGGTCTTAATGACGAATCACGTCTGACTGTAAACGATGATATACTACCATTTATTCCGTCTCTAGAGGACGGCATTGAAGCGCACAACAAAAAAAACGTAGATGTAGCTTGGGAATGTTTTAACATACATGCTGACCTTGGAGATAATAATGCGAAATATTGGAAAGGTTTATATTTAAAAGAAGGTTATTATAAGGGTTTAAAAAATTTAGCAGAAGCCATAAAACTTTTTAAGGAAGCTGCTGATGAAAATGTTCCTGAAGCACAACTTCATTATGCACTGGAGATAATAAATATTGACGAACATGAGTATATAAAATATTTAAAAAAATCTGCTGCTAATGGTAACCCCACAGCTTTATTCTACTACGGTGTTTTATCCCTGGATGGAAAATATGTAGAGAAAGATGAGAATATAGGAATACAGTGTTTAGAGTTGGCTACTGCAAAAGGTCAAAAACAAGCAATTGATGAACTTAAAAAACGTAATATTAACTTTGGTAAGTTCATATATCATTACTTTATGTTATAACTTTTCAATTTTATTAATAATATTTTTCAATTCGCACAGCAACACAAAAATGGTAATAAAAAGGCATAATGATTAAAATTTAATATATATGCTCGCACACTTATGTAGAGAATTGTATTTAATTTAATTGTATTAGTTTTTTTTTAAGGATATCCTCTTGTTGTCAAAATATTTAAACCAAAAAAAAAGTTTTACATACATAGTAATATATTCAAAATGGGTCGACATCACGCCAGGTGAAATTTAGTAAAAATATGTACCTGAAACTAATTAAATGCTTAACCCTAACCCTATGTGATGTCAGCTAAATGAGCGTTCGGTGTAATGATTGTCGGTGAATTGATCGGAACCGATTCACCGATTCAAAATATTGTACACTAATAATATTAACACTCAATAATGATTAATATTGGCTGCTTGATTTGCAATTTTCACCCGGGATCATTATATTATCCAATTATTCGAATGAATTGTTATATATATTTCAAGTGGTTATTTAATAACGATTTATACCTGGTCTAACACTTGGTTTGCCTTTAGGATGAAATCAATCTATACAGCTCAACTATATAATTTCGAAAAAGGCAATTTCTATTTGTACACGGGGTGTATGTACACGGGCAATATAGATATCTCAAAATTTTGATTATGAAACCACCTTTTGGCTCCTAACAAAAAAAATTCCTCGCGAAATTTTGGTATAAGCTATACCTTGCTCAATTCCAAACCCACCCTTACCCTAACCATAAGTGAGGGTTTATTTTTCGTTTGTAAAAATTGTTTTGATTAGTATGTCGCACGAATATGTAATTCAATAAATTATACTCGTGTATAAACACTATGTGTAAACTAATAAATTTTCTTCGAAAAATATCTATTAAATCAATTCAAATTAAAGAAAATTAAATTTCTTAAAGAATTGGTTGAGAAAATCCTTTTATTCTCGTTATAACAGTTCAATCAGGCCGAAATTCCGTTTGTTGTAAATTCAAAAGTATTACAATATATAGCATAATAAGAATTTTAAAATATTCAGAAGGATCAATCTACTATAGTATTAACGAGATCCTATTAATTAGGTTTGGATTTAAAATTAGGTTTAACAGCATATATTAAAATTGACTGTAATTTAGTATTTCAATTTTAACAATCTAAAGATTTATCCTTTTTTTTACTAAAATGCACCTATGAAGTTTTATATTTATATATGCATTATCTCAAAAACTAATCGCGTGTAGTATTTTAATGAAACGTTCTATCTCTCCAAAAATTCTTAAATATAACTATAAATACTAACATGAAAAATTTTTTAGAAAATTATTTCGTCTCACCATTGGTAATATCACCAGTAATCAACAAATAATATATACATACCAGAAGTAGATATATATAAACGTGTAAATACAGTATAAATGCTTACACGTCACATAACCAATCGCAATAAAGCTACTTTTATTGTTGATTTGATTGGTTTATATCACGCGATTCTATTTTTTTTTAGAGTCAAGTAAAGCGGCTACAAAAACGATTTCTCGAATCTGAAAATTCTGATTATTGCGGTTTGCAAAAAGGTGTGGCCTCTGCAGATTATCATGTTAGGTGATTTTTTATTCAAAGGAAATTATACAGATTTCCAAATAATATTGCTGATTGAATATATGAGTGCCGCCAAAGTTATCGGATTTTCAATGATTATTATATTTTGTGTCCAATTTGTTCCCTAAGTGCTGTCTAGGGAAAATCTGTCATCGGGTTTTCAATTATACTCATCACAAAATATAATTGAAAGCCCGGTGAAAGATTTTCCCTAGACGACACTTTGAGAACAAACTGGACACAATATAATTGAAAACCCGATTACAGTTTTTCCTTGGCAGCACTCATATGATTGATAGACAATATAGAATTTCCAAAATTCCCCACTATCGTTATCACGACAATCGTAGGGTTATACCTTTTTGCAAATCGCAATAGTAAAAATTACAGTTTTAAAAAAGGATTTTTACATACTTATGTCGTAAATCGAAGAATTTGAAATTCTAATTAGCCAAAATTATTGCGGTTTGCAAAAAAAGTGTAATATTATAAATAAGAGGCGATTTTCCGATTTCAATAGATATATTTATTTATTGATTTAATTTATGGTCGATATTTAGAAATCTTAAATTTCATCTTTTTCAAACCGTTATAAAGATTCGATTAGAACAGGCTTTGAAAATTCTAGAAATTTGAGAATTTCTCGATCTGCATCTGTTCATCTCTTTTTTTTCATATGAATGCTGC